TCATCAACCAGGATCAAGATATTCGATAATCAAAGATGAGGCACTTGGAAGAGCCAACAGAAGTCAGCAACAGATCAACAAAAACAGTTAGACTTTAGATTGGGAGTTGAGAACAGTAAGATCCAAAACAAATCAAAGAGTCAGAATACGATTTCGTAGAGAGACAGATCAGAGGAAGTACAACAACAATGGCTTACCTTTTATAAAATAGTAAAGAACCTAGCGGTCTACTTGCTCAAGGTGCACTTTTTGCACGTGTAGAATAAAAGAGAGGATGCCTAACAAAAGAAGGAATTTACCCAAATTAAGAGGTTTCCATCTATCAAATGAAGGCAGACTTTTTGGAATAATAAGAAACTTAGATGTGCATTTTTTCTCAACAAAAGTGCCCAACAAAGTACGAAGTAGGGAGAGAGAGGATGGCTAAACGTAAGAAAGACGGTTTCAAAAATTGCAGGGTACTTAAAGGGCAGCGATCGCCATCCATTCCCACCTCGGCTCGCACCTTGGAGCCTCTGATTCGTCGGCCATAGCTTGAACATGTTGTAAATAAGGCCTCATCTTTTACACAAAACTAGAAGGTGAAAAAGGCAATTTGGCCACTAGCTTCCGTTCAAAGAGAGAATTCAATAGCCCAAAAACAATGATAAGAACCAAAGCCCCAACCCCACCAGACATAAATTTAGAGAGAGAAATGTCTCTCATTGATACAATTCCCTTAGCCGCACCTGTGTGATGAGGTCGCAGATTTTGTCGATGACTGTGAACTGCTCGAGCACAAGTGACCCAAGCTTGAACTCCTCGATGCAGCACTACTTCAGCTGCTCTGCCAAAAGATTTTCCACCGATAAAAAAGGTTATGCGCCACAGGGAGTTGATGTGTTCAATACAGTTGGTATCAGCAAATTGGGAAGAAAATGACAAATTGCACTTTCTCTCTCTAGAAGATGATTTCTTAATGCAAACTGTGAAGCAAAAGGGAAGCAAAGGAGTATAGGCAAGTGGAGCAAATTGATGGGTGAAGGACTATGCAGTAAAGGTTTTTTTGAAGGACCATAACAAAACTATGATCTGAGCTCACACCTCACGGTAACCCCAGATCTGAGTTCGCATCTCAGATCTGAAGTTGAGGAGCCTATTGCTCTGATACCATGTTAGAATTTTAAGAATACTGTAGGGAACTCTATTAAATTGATTAATCAAGAATATACAAGACTCCATATAAATATACAGCCAGTAACAGTTAAAGGTAAATACCAACGGTTATGGATAAACACCACCTAATCTTATCAAGAGATATGTATCCATACAGATGTATATCCATACTGATATGTATCAATATGATACATATCGATATCCATATGTTCCAGTAACAGTTAAAGATAAATACCAACGGTTATGGATAGACACTACCTAATCTTATCAAGAGATATGTATATTATACTGCATATCCATACTAATATGTATCAGTATGATACATATTCATATCCTTACGTTAACACCTCATTTATTACTAATTTGGTTGTTAATGAGCTAGTAGCCTGCATATTTTATTGGGGTAATTGTCACGAATATGCTTTATCTTTTAGAAATTAAAAAAAATACCTAAATTTTTCTAAAACTACATCCATATCCATTTTCCCACACATTATTTATATTTTTCAAAATGCCATTCATGTATCATAGTTCTAATAGAATCATTATACACAATGTGCCCTCTTGCTCTCTCTCACTTCCTAGAAGCACTGCGATGGTGCTTTTAGCATCATGGCACTGCGATCGTCCACATCTGCTTGCGCGGGTGTTTCACTCTAAGGCGGAACGCTCCACTACCGATGCATTTTTACATCTCCCAACTTCAGTAAATTGCTTGGCCCTGTTCATCTTCAGCGCAAAAGCGCTCGATCTGTGAGCTAGTGACATGATGAATCATCTAGTGCTGTGATGGTCCTCAATGCACCACGGTGGCTATTTGAGCACCAAGGCACTATTAGTACCGTAATAATGCATCATGGCATGACGGTTTTAGACACATACTTACACAAAGAGATATGAGTACCACTATGAAGTATTACGGTATTCCTAGTTCCATGATGCTCACAGCACCACCACGGAGCTTCCTGAAAATCTAGGAAGCACCATGGTGCATAAAGACGCATTATGGCACCTTTACTGTTGTGATGTATCATCCCGGCATTGACACTATCATGATGCTCAAAGCACCGCTGCAGTGGTTACTAGAAGTAAGAGAGATCAAGAGGGCATCGGGTGAAGTATAGATTATCACGATTCTATTGGAATTGTGATACATGAAGGGTGTTTTTTTTTAAAAACAATAAAGTGTGGGAAAATGGGTATGGAAGTAGTTTTGAAATTTGATTTTTGAAATTTTTAAAAAATAAAGGATATTTGTGATAATTACTCATTTCATTATAATTTACATTTTTTTTATTAGTAGTAGTCAACAATAATTTTTTTGAGATATGTATGTTGCCTTTATTTTCTTATTTACTCTGTAATTAAATTGAGTCGACTTAGTTTGCTTTTCTTTTGGTGCTTTCAATCTCATCTATGTCAATAAAATGAATAATTAAATTGAGCCTACATAAAATCTATGGGTCAGAGCATCCCATTTTGCCCGTATTGTATTTCATGAAATGTAGGTTAATAGAATTCGGGATTGAGCTCAAGGCATATAAGTGGTCAAGGGGATGGGTAACACAATATGATGTCTTAAATTCCATAAAAATGAGTAAGATACCTATTTTCGGTTGATCTACCTAAAAATTAAAGTGATTTACATTCAGACCCTAATATTTTAGGAAAATATAAAATACTCCGCTTATAGGCAGAAATTACAAAGAAAGTCGGTCAACCCACCTTTTTTTTATTTTTTCAAAATTACCTCTCGATCAATTGATTTTTTATTTCTTTTTTTAGTTTTTTTTTTTTGTTAGTAGAGCAATGCCCCAATCTTTAAGGCACTTCCCTACTAAAAAAATGAAATAAAATAAAAAAAAAATCAAAATTCAAGTTGTTCAAGGGGCAATTTTGGAATTATTTTAAAAAAAGCAGGTTGACCGATCTTCTGTGTAATTTCCGCATATAAATAGAGCATTTCGTATTTTACCTAAAATTTTAAAGTTTCTATGTAAATCACTCTAAAAACTATTTAATAAAATCTGAATATCCTCCTTGAGAATCACTCCATTTGATCCATTGTTCCTCTAAAGCTCAGCTCTCTATGTTGTGTTTTTCATTTTTAAAGACATAGAACCCCATCCCCCTCCTCAAAGACAAGGGCAAAGATGGCAAAAATAATTAACCCACAAATCAAATACACCCAAGACACCCTATTTAAAACCCATATAATCATTTGCCCAGATACTGAGAACTTGCCAAGAAATTAAGGCTCCTTTTTGAGTTACATGCTTCTTTCCATGTGCTATGTTGAACCCGGGAGTAGGGACTATTCCTTCTTTGTACTGGCCAATTCATTGCAATGTATTTTGCAATTAGGAGTCAAGTCAAGAGCCTTAATTTTCAAAGAAAAGGTCAAGAGCCTCAATCAGACCATAATATCTTGTATTTTAGTCGCCATGCTGGTCGTGCCTCCATCACCTTACCCCTAATGTTTACCATAACTTAATTCTATACATATTATTTGGTGAATGACCATTAAAAATTTATAGCTACGGTCGCTTCCTAATGAAACTTCATTTTTGTCCTCTTTTGTGTTTTCGTGAATGGCACGTATATTATGCTCCCTTGGGAGCATAGTAGCATAGTTTGTTTTTCTGCTCCCTCGCTCAAAGACCTACTTGAGAGGATTGTCTTTCAATCTGAAATTTTTTGAATTATTTAAAGATTACTAGATGATTATTCTCAAAAAAAGTTTTCTTGAAATTTGGTTCTCCTAACGCTTGGATCTCACAATCTAAAATTCGGATGGTCCCTAATGACTATGTTTTTTTAAAATGCATAGAGGGTACAATTAAGATTTTTTTTTTAAGAATAGATTGTACGTTGAAGAGCTCAAAACTTGGGTTCTTAAAATTAATTCTAGGTTATGGGTGGCCACAGGTCGGTTCAGGTCGTGTCCAGGACCTGATCCGGACCCAGAAAAAATGATATGAGACCAAGACCTGACCGGTCCCAAGTTCATCGGATCTAGTTCCAGACTGGGTCGGATTCGACCCAAAATCTAAAGATATCTATGTATTTAACTATATTTAAATATATTTCATATATTGAGACTTGAAAGATATTATCGGACCCGAACTCCCAGACTGGAATAGTGTTCGGATCCAAAATTTAGACCCGGACCCAACCTGCCGGGTCCAATTTTTAAACCCATATCTAGACCTAGATTGGGTCTATCCTTTGTTGCCAACCCCCTATTCTAAATGAGGTTTTACTTGAAGGGAGTAATCTTTTGGCTTTTGCAAAACAATGATGAAACTATGGGGAAAAGTCCAAAATAATAATAATAATAAATAAAAATATCTAAGGGCACTTGTGTTGGAGGTGAAATGTTTCGCAACCTACCGTATCCCAAAAAACATTGGGCAATTCTTTCCCATATTTCGCGTCACTTTTGTATGGTGTGACTACACATGTACCGCAGTGCTAACATCGTGATATTTCAACTCCAAGAAACAAATAAGAAAGTGGGAAAATCTTAGCCCGTAGATTGTTTTTCGAAATGATAAACGGTGAGATTTAACACATGGATGAACGATGACGACGGAGAACTACATCTAATCTCCACCATTCATCACCAAAAACAAGCAGTCTATGTCCCATTGTGTACCATACATAATACATCACTCATGCTAGGAAATGCACTACACACCGCTCATGTATGGTAGACTCTCCTGCAAAGCTCAATAATATCTATTTCAGATCCTCAACACCAAAAAGACAAAGTGGATATCACGAGCTATTACACGACAAAGACCTTCACCCCTCAAATTGATGCCCCTTTTACCCAAAATCGAAGGCTCTTCTAATCCAATCCAAGCCGTCAATTCCCAGAGAAGCCCATTTTTAAATCCGTGAAACCCAGGCTTCTGAACTTCAGCAAAGAGAGAGAAAGTTGCAGAGAGAGAAGCCCAAACTTTAAACACAGAGAGAGAGAGTTTTGAGCTTTTTCACCGACCATTAAAATGGGTCTTGATCAGGCTTCAAATTTAGCCTCTCTGTTTCTTTTCATTGCTCCATTTGCCTTTACATTTGCCCCCAATGTTATGGCATTACAAGTAGACCTTCAAACCTCTGGTCTGTCTGCAACTTTGGTAAGTACAAAACAAAAACTTTTAAAAAAAGATAAATAACATCTTTTTCTTTTTGCTTCCGATCTTTTTTCTCTGTTATAATTACACTTGTTGGGTTTCTCTCTCATGGTCTTGGTTCAGTCAAGGAGGGAATGTAGCAGCGTGTGCGAATCTGATTACTGTTCAGGTAACAGTTGAATAGCATTTCAGTGAAATGATTTCTCTCGACTTTTGAGTTTAGATGATGAATTAGTGTTGCCATTTTCTTTTGGGAAAAGTTTATGTAGAGCCGACGCTCTAAACAACCAAATTCGAGCCTACTTAAAAAATTTCACTGGATGAGGTTGTTTTGATGCCTAAATATGCATGGACATGAGAAAAAAATAAATTTTAAATTTAAAAATAGTGTATTTTGTAACATATTTTTGTACTATCAATTTTGAAGATTTTCAAGTTTTCATATATATATATATATATATGCTGATCTTCACCATTTTTAAAGCTTTAAACTTTATAAATAATAGTGAAAGTACATTTTAAGACTATCACAAGATTTCGAGTATCGAAATCACATTTCTCGATACTATTTGAAGATAGGCTCTAATTTGATTGTTTAGAGCTTAGGCTCCATACAAACCGCACACTTTTCTTTTTATTTACCATATCTTGTGTAAAACCTCTGCAAAACTGACTTTTTGTACAAACAACTGTACATTTCGTTCATTTCTACCATTTTTTTTCACCCTTCTGTTCTTTTTACTTCTCTGCATCTTATCTCATTTTTCTTGAAACACTTCTAGATGCATACCACTGAGAAACTTTGCACGGAAAAGATCATATATCTCATATGTGTTGTGGTGTTTTTCCATGGCCAAACGCTGGTTCATTCATTCCACACGTTATTTAAGTTAGCCGGGAGTATAAAATCTAGTTTAAATGATAGATATGAACTTTTCTTTGGCGGACAGGCCATTGTCAGGTATCTGTGAGGATACTTCTTGGCATGACCCTTTCAGTACACTCTCTCTTACTGAGTTTAAATGGTTTCCATTAAAATGCAGTTCCTCCACTGCTGAGGTATGGAAAATATTGTGGGCTCGGTTACAGCGGATGCCCAGGCGAGGGTCCGTGCGATGGCCTTGATGCTTGCTGCCAAACTCATGATAATTGCGTGCAAGCCAAAAACGGTAGGTCATTCATCAAGTTGTTGAGTGATTTACATGCGGACCCTAGAATTTTTTTTACAAGTAGGTCTGTGCCCGGAGCTTTTAAGACAATAACAAAAAAAAAAAAAATGCAAGCATCGAAATTTGAGTTGACTGAGGGTCAATTTAAAAAAAAAAAAAAAAAATGAGTTGATCGGCTTTTTTTTTGTAATTTTTTTTTATAAATTAAACATTTTGTATTTTTTTCTAAAACTTTAAGGTCCGTACGTAGTCACTGTAATTATTTTATAATTTATATGAAAATTTTGCACTTATATTGTCAACGGTCATGAGGGTCATCACTGGCTAATTGATGGGTTGGATGGCGTTGAGGGAGAGTGGGAGATAGAGTTGCTTTGTTGTCAAAACTCTCCCTCTATCACCGTCCAATCAAATGATGGACAGGTGATGACCTCATGATCACATGGATCACAGTATTCCTTACATATAAAATAGGTGATTTAAAAGTTTGTTTCCCTTTGGTTTTAGTAATCACAATCAAAATTGCAATTATTGCAAGTTAAATGATTCTTAAGACACCAATTCACGAGCAAAATTAAACCCCCTTAAATGAAAGATTAATGGCGTAGGAGCACAAAGGAAATTTATCAAATTGTACGAAAAAGATTAACCACTTCATACTTTACCGGTTTTCTATTTAATTTCAAAAAGCCATCAAAATCTACATAATTATTTAATTTCAAAAAGCCATCAAAATCCACATAATTATAAGTTGAAATAGTCCAAAATGGTAAAATATTAAAGGAATTGTATATAATGGAACTATTTACTTTTGATACAAAGTGGTCACCATTGCTTATAACCATCTATTGTGAAATTTGATAGCTTTGATGTCTCACAAACTTCCAAAAATTTTCTTTTTGAAGTTTGAGCTTGATCAATCGAATAATTGGGGACCGCCAATTTTACATCTAATTGTCAAAATTAATGTAACCACTTGTACCAAAGGTAAATAGTGATTGTATAAAATAAGACCATTTACTTTTGATACAAGGTAGTCACAATTGTTTACAACAATTCGATGTGAAATTTGATAGCTTGAATGTATCACAAAATTCTAAAAAATTTATTTTGAACTTTGAGCTTAGTCAATGGAATAATTGTAGCCAACCAATTTTACATCCAACGGTCAAGATTAATGTGACCACCTTGTACTAATGGTAAATGGTTTTATTATATACCCTTCTCAATATTAAATAGTTAATAGTGATGTGTATTTTGATAAAGGAAAAAGTTTATCTAAAGCATCAACCTTATATTATGGAAAAGTATAAAATAAGACAATTTATCTTTAGTACAAGGTAGTCACAAATAATATTAACCGTTGGATGTGAAATTAGGTTGTTGTATTTATTCCATTGATCAAGCTCAAAGTTCAAAAGAAAATTTCTCAAACTTTGTAATAATCCCAAGCTATTATATTTTGCATCAGATGGTCATAAGTAATTGTGATCTCTTGTACCAAAGGTAAATGCTCTCATTGTATAGGATCCCTTATATTATTGAACTAGAGTGCACTTCCAAAATCCTTTAGAAGTTTCAACATTAGAATACCTCCAATTGATCATCTCAACCATGAGATGTATGGATATGATAAAAAATAAAAAATTTCAAGTCCAGCAAATAGTACATTTTGAGTTATCTAGACCGTCCATCAAGATTTTCAAGTGTCTATAGATTTGTTTGTTCTGTACGAATTTTAGAATTTTAAATTTCATAACTAGAGATAAAAACAGATTTTGAAGCCATTATAAAGGTTTCTAATATCAAAACTACATAACCGAGCAAAAATTTAGAGGTGCACATTACTTCTTCTACAGTATAAACAGGACGCCTTATATAGACCTCACCCTTTAATAAATTCCCTATAAAATAATCTTTTGTATTAAAGAGACGAATTGTTTATGTATCTTGACAGAAGACTACCTGAGCCAAGAGTGTAACCAAGAGTTTCTTGACTGCATTTCTGAGTTCAGAGCATCAGGGCGTCCTTCGTTTGAGGGAAATAAGTGTGACGTTCAGGAGGTGATTGATGTAATTTATGTGGTTATTGAGGCAGCCTTATTAGCTGGTAGGGCTCTTCACAAGCCCTAATTTCAAATTCCTAGGATCTCTCTTTTGAATGAAATTAACGTAAACGGCGATGATGAAGATTGTTTAATTGTGAAAATTATAAAAAAAAAAAAGGAAGAAGAACATGGTTTACTTGTGTGACAAACTCTTTCATTGATCGTTAGGCTCTGGAGTCCAGTTTATTTTATGGTTGATTATTATAATTTGTGCTTACTTAATGGAGGATGGGGATCTTGATCTGTGTAATGCAACAGAGAAATTGACAGCATACCTCTTGATATTGGGGTTGCAAAATATTGTTTGCTATTATTTTATTTAAGTTTGGGGACGTGAATCATAAGATTCAATAATGGTGCATGATGTCGTGGACAATTTCCAAGATTTTATTTGAATACTAGGTTTTGTGTGAGAAAACTAGGTGTAAGACACTGCATTCCTGATGTGAAAGACTTTGGTACTTACCTAGCTTTATTTTCCTATATATAAAATTGTTTGATTATTTTTGCTTGCTTTTCAGCTATATTAAAAAAAAAAATTACTTTCTTTAATGTTAAAATTGAGTTTAGGAGAACAATTTCAAAATTAAAAAATTAAAAAAACCAAAATTGAGTTTAGGAGAACAATTTCAAAAACAAAAAAATAAAAGAAATTTGATTTTTGGAGATTGTATACTATGAGACCATTTATCTTTCTTATAAGTAGGTCATAACTATTCTTGGCTATTAGATATCAAATTAGATATTTTGGGGTGTCGCCAAGTTCAAGAAAATATTTTTGTTTGAAATTTGAATCTAGGCAATGATATGCTCACAACCATCCGATTTGAAATTTACAGGACAAGAGTGATTACGACTTTCTTGTGTTAAAAGTAAATTGTCTATTTTTCCATACATAAGACTGCCACTAAGGTTATAAAGAACGCTGCCAAACAATAATCAATTTACTACCAAAATCAATTTTATTGAAATAGTAAATTACCAGTGTCATTAGGGACTCCAATCGATCCAATGGTGAAATTTGTACAAATATGACATACAGCTTGATGCTGTCATGGTACATCTTTCATGTATTTCAATTTTAAATTGTAAATGGTATTTAAATTATTTGTTTACAATGAGATCATTTATCTTTGATATGAGGAGGCCACAATTGCTTGTAACTATCTACTGCGAAATATGATATCTTGAGTGTGTCACAAAGTTCAATTTTGTGCTTTTTTTGAAATTTGAACTTGGTTAATGGAATAAATGCAGCCATCTAATTCCACATCTAATAATCAATATTAATTATAACCACTTTGTACCAAAGATAAATAGTCTCATCACGATGGACTATAAAGAGAATGAGTTAGAAAATCTGCCCCCTTTGGAAAATTTTCTTGTTTGGGGAAGCCATGGTAATTAGTCCTAATTCTAGTGGAAGGTTAATTTAACAGTGCAAGTCCTATAAGTTCATGTCAAATTTCAAAAAGTACCCAAATTTTTGAAGTAAACGGTCCAAGGTTTGGAAGGAGCTCGAAATAGAGTAACATTTCTATTTTGTAACCACCAAGGCGCCCTTCCTCATTTATTTCAAAATGGAAATGTCAATATTTTTCCATTTAACTCCCCTATCTGGGAAAGGGGTTTGAGTCGTGATGGTAGTACCCCACACTATAGTCACTATGTTGTGGTTTTCATTTCTACAAGCCTGATTCGCACTCTTGCAAGGAAGTCTTTGCGTTGATACAAGCATACACGTCAAGTGGGACTCACTACTTTCTCCCTCAATTATTTAAGAACTTGGGAAAGCTATACTTAAAACATATATTATTTTGAAATACCTAAAAGTACTAATACTTTCGAGATAGTGTCAAAAATGAGGTACGTCTTTTGAGACAATGTCAATCTATAGGGTTCAAATAAAATAGTCGGTGTAATGCAACATTACTTCTATTAATAAGTAAGGGTGCATCCTCATTTCCTAATAAATGTTCACAATTGTTGCTTAACAACCACATTTTTAACACTTCAGGCTTCTAGTTTTACAGCTTGTTTCTTCTACGGGTTAGTGTATGAAAGTTTGCTTTTGCTTCCATAGTTATAATGGAAAGGTTTTCACAATGTACTCACTCTAAGGGCCTATTTGATAACTAGAAACAAGTTCATGAACTATAAATTAGAAGTTCCCGAAGAACTGTGAACTTAAGAAGTTACTGGTGTCCGTGTTTGATAACCTCCTGGGAAGTTAATAAGTTTTTGGTTTCTGTGTTTGATAACCTCTTGAGAAATTAAGAAGTTCGTGGTTTCTGTGTTTAATAACCTCCTGGAAAGTTAAAGAAGAACTGGATATTTGTATTGGATTAGAGAAAAGACTGGTTTTTATCCCATTGGCGAGAGTTACATTTGTTATATGCCCACCACTAACACCAAATGATAAAAATGCAATTTATTTTCCAAACCGGCCTATAGTCCATACCAAAATAAATGGTATCTAAGCCAGGGTCCCATCAAATGGTATAGAAGCCAAGTTTGTGAATATATGAATTCCTCTGCCCCGTTCTTGTGCCACTTCTGTAAGTTTGGCCTGAAATTGTACACAAAATAGTGATAATATAATTATTAGATATGCAAAATGGTAAGTGCATGTGCAAAGTGAAAGTAGTGCAATTGACCAGTTCATCAGGCGCGCAATTGCACAAAAATCAGCATACACAAGAACAATATAAAAACCAACACCCCAATACAGAATTCAACCACAAGTACCATTCTTCCAACACAAAGAAGGTACACACCATCTCAAGAAAATGGAGAAGGAAGCAAAGATCATACTGTTACATATAAATGGGTTCCAAATTTCAAATAAAAAATCATACTGTTACATATACATGGGCTCCAAATCAAAGATCATACTGTTACATATACATAATGACTTACATTGTAAGATGCATATAACAATAAATAGGCTTAACATTAAAAGAAATTAATGAAAAAATAAAAAAAAACCAGATGCAAGAATGTAACGGAACATTAATACCATAATTTTACTATCAAACCCTATGAACTATGAAATGTAGGTAAAGAACCTCAGAAAATCTAAAATCCAAAAAGATACCACAAATTAGATGGTCTAAGTGACCTATATGCATCAAAACAAAAAAGTTAGGTGATCAAGAAAAAGTCTTCAGGGCATCAATTTTTGGCCACCGAGATGCATGCGATGACTATAGCATTTGTTCTGTGAAAATGAGCTTTTCACATACTAGATTCCACTGAAAAAAATTCAATTCCAATGTCATGGAACTAGATAGATATGAATGTGATTAGTCTAAATAAGCTTTAAGATGGATATCAATTGTTTTGCTTTGTTTTAGTTATAGGCAGGCCAAAACCGTCATATAGTAGCCATGTTTTGGAACAAATTCCCCAGAATCAATCGAGCCATATCATAGTTGAAGAAATTACATTTCTGACTTTCATGTGCACAAACCATCTGTTTAAATGATAATTGGACTTAAATTTCAGCAAATAAACCCTGAAATGATTTAGTATAAAGATACACAGAAGGAATCCAAACATAAAAAACCCTTTTCTTTATTAATTCAGCAGTTTCATCCAAAATTAAGAATAAAAATTGAAAGGAGCTAGGTTCTCCTTCCATGAACGTATTTTCTCACCCATTTTTTAGCCCAATTTGAAGCGAACATTTTTTTAGCCCAATTTGAAGCGAACAAAGGAATTGGTCAACAAAAAAAAAAAAAAGAAAAAAAAAAAAAAAAGGTAAAAAGTGTAAACAAAAAATCCAAGTATTGGAAGAAAATGAGGCCTAGCAAGGAAAATTATACAGTGAAACAATCAAATTACTTCAAAAACATGCAATGAACTATAACCAAAAATTTCAAAGCAACATGAGAAGCAAGGTGATTAACTTACATAAAAATAACAAATCAACAAAGCAGGAAAGCAATCACTTTGCCGCCAAAGGGCATAAAACCTCAAGAGCCCTAAAATGCCAAAGACAAAATTCCAGGTCAGCACTCTATACTGCAGAACGTGCACGGAAAGTGCAGAAATCCATCAAAAAAAAAACAATTGAGAAACCAAAATTTCTAGGGCAAAAAGCAAGGCAGAGGGATAAAACAAAAAACAAAAACAGAGCAAGTAAAAAACAGAGAAAGAGAGAGAGTTCTTACCGTGATCTTAATGGAGGAAACATAAAAAAAAACCCTAGTCACTGGAGCAAGCTTCTTCTGGCACAAGCGGTGTGAGCAAATGGAAACCATGAGAGAGAAAGAGAAATTTTAGAGAGAGAGGAGCGTGGGCATTTAATGGGGGTTACTTTGTATGTCTGGATTTCTCAGCGGCGAAGATGGGAAGCTGCGAAGAGAGAGGTGCTTATCGGGGTGGGTGCTCACCAGCGATGAAGAGAAAAGAGGCTAGGGTTACAGAACGAGAGGAAGTTACGAACTTGGCAATTTTGAGTTCCGACTTTTGGGTCGGAACTTTTTTTACAAAATGGTGGTGTTGGAAGATCAACAGCAAACTAAAGTTTTTATTTGGAGTTCTCATTTTTATCAAACATGAAAGTTGAGAAGTTCTGAACTTCCAAAAGCCACTTCCTATTATCAATCACGCCTTAAAAGAATCAAAGTCGAACCTCTAAGTCTGGTTTCCTATTATCAATCACGCCCTAAAAGAATCAAAGTCAAACCTCTAAGTCCGGTTAAAAGATGTAGTTCTGGTTCCAAAAATCTAAAAAAGCATCAAAATATGGTTTTATCCCCCATCATAAAACTTAATGCTCTAAAAATTGTCTGGAGCATGTAAATCTATAATCAGTTGAAAATCTTAAAAACGTATGGTTCAAATAATATTTTATAAGATACATTATTTTTAAGATTTAAAATTATTAATTTTAAATATCCATAAATTTTGAGTTTTTTCAAGTCAGAATAACGTCTTCCCATGGATTTTTGATGTACGCCTCACTCCTATGGTCTCAAATTGACACCCTATATAAACTTTTTGCTAATTATAACTAATTTTTTCTAATTTTTAATTACGCAAATTGGCAGTGTTTTTTGAATCAGTGGGGTTCTGAAGGGTGTACAAGAAAGCCACTGAAACATATTCTGGCGCAAGCTAAATGGCCATCAAAATGCGTGTGGCATGAATGCGCATTTTGAACAATATTCATACAGGCCTTTATTTTTCTTAACATATCCACTTGGCTAATTTTTCCCTTTTCTAATATGGAAAAAGGTTACATACATGCAAGGCTCTAAACAATCAAATTAATGGGTACCTAAAAAATTCATTAAAAAAAGTTGTATTGATGCTGAAAAACCCTCAATTCAATCATCTCAACCTCAAGATATATGAACATGAGAAAAACAAGTTTTTAAGTATTAAAAATAGTGCATCCTATAATGTATTATCATCAATTTTCAATATTTTCACGTGTTAATAGATTTGCTCGATCTATACTAGTTTTTGAAGCTTTTAATTTTATAATTAAGGATGAAAATTTATTTCAAGGTCATCACAAAGATTTCAGGTATTGAAATCATATTTCTCGACAATATTTGACGGTGAGCTTTACTTTGATTGTTTAGAGCCTCGGCCCTATACAAATTGCACCCTTTCTAATATGGAAAAGGTTTATATAAGTGCGGGGTTCTAAACAATCAAATTTATGCACAGTTCAAAATTTCATTAAAAAAAGTTGTTTCAATATCGAAAAGCCCTCAATTCGATCATCTCAACCTCAAGATGTATGGACATGAGAAAAACAAGTTTTCAACTATTGAAAATATTGCATCTTATAATGAATTGTCTCGACTGTTAATTTTCATGATTTTCAAGTGTTTATGATCTACTCGATCTACACTACTTTTTATTTTTAAATTGTATTACTAGAGATAAAAATAAACTTTCAGGCCATCATAAAAATTTCTAATATTACAACAATGTGTTTAGAGCCTCGGTCTTACACAAATGACAATCTTTTAATATGGGAAAAGTTTGTATAAGGTTGCAACCTTATACTGTTGAGGAAAGGTGCATCTCAAAAATCCTACTGTGGAGAATGTTAAGACATAAGAGAACCCTCCAACTGAACATTTCGACCTTAAGATGAATGGACATGAAGAAAACAAAGAATTCCAAATTCAAAAAATAGTATATTTTGTAAAAAGTTATCTAGATCATCTGTTTCAAGATTTTCAAATGTTTATTGATGTGCTCGATCCGTATTATTTTTAAAATTTTAAATTTTTTAACTGAAGATAAAAAGAGATTTTGAAGCCATTATAAGATATTCGACGTCGAAACGACATCTCTAAGTAAATTTTTTTAGTGCACCTGACTTATACAAACCTCACCCTTTTAATATTGCCCCATTTAAATATGGAAAAAGTTTATATATAGTCGAGGATCTAAACAATTGAATTTGAGCCTACATCAAAAAGTTCACTAGAAGAGGTTGTTTTGATGTTCAAATATCTTCAAATTGTTCATCTCGACATCAAGATACATGGACATGAGAAAAAAATAAATTTTAAGTTTTGAAAATAGTATATTTTGTAACGTATTTTTAAACCGTCAATTTTCAAGATTTTCAAATTTTCATAGATATGTCGATTTACACTGTTTTTTAAGCTTTGAACTTTATAAATAAAATTAAAAATATATTTTTAACGCTGTCACAAATATTTTCAATAATAAAACCATATTTCCCGATAGTATTTGAAAGTAGAGTCAGATTTGATTTTTTAGATCCTAGACTCTATACAAACCGCACCTTTTAAATATTCGCTGAGGCACGTTTCAAAACTACAATGCCTAAACATTACCTCAGCCATCCCTTGTGAACCTCTAACTACTGAGTTGACATGACAGCTCTGCAAAGAACTTGGATGCATTATTGTTTTTCTGAAGTGGTGAGGCTTGTATAAGATGGCCTCCATACTATAGAAGTAAGGCGCACTTTTAAAATTTGCTGAGAAGTCTTATTCTTAGAAATATTATTATGATTTGAAAATCTATTTTTGTCCCTAGTTAAAAAATAAAATTTCAAAATATAGATCAAGTATATCAATAAACATTTGAAAATCTTGATGATAGATTTTTAAATAATTGTTACAAGATGCACTATTTTTTTAACTTAAAATTTTTTCTTTTTTTTTCTTCATGTTCGATACATCTTGAAGTTGGGATGATCATCGATGGATTCTCTAATGCCAGAATACTCTGTTCGACAGGATCTTTGAGGTGTAATTTGTTTCAATAGTATAAAATTGCAAACTTATATAAACTTTCTCCTTTCTCAAATTATTCTCATCTCACATTTCAATACTTCTTTCCTAACATGATATGTTCTAAAGGAGAAGGAGCCAATGGTGGTCTTGATAGTTCCAACGGTTATTTGATCCCTGCCTTTTTCTTTCTTTCTTTTTTCTTTTCCCCCCTTCTTTTCTTTCTCGCCGTGTCTTGTTTTTTGCCAAGTGGTTGTATCTCTTTCATTTTCTCAACGACATCTCGTTAATAGTTTTTTTAAAAAAACAAAAAGATAAAAGAAAAAAACAGAAAATTTGTTTCATGCGGGTTGGACGGCATTTATGTATATGCAGTCGAGAAAGTGTAAAGCATCCATCTTAAAAATAGATGCAAGTAGGTGTTTCATCTAAAAACAATAAAAACTAACCATCCAAATGTTTTCTTATTAGAATTATTATTTCTAGTTTTTAAAACTTATTTATTTTTTTATATACATGATTCCCATGTTAGAGATTACATATTTTTAAAAATTAAATCTTAAAATCCATCTCTAAAATAGATTTATTAAAAGGCCAGCATTTCTATATATGCAGACATGGCCGCGTTGAACCGGGGTCCATAAAAGAAAAGACCAGTTAAAAACTGGGCGAGTCCTACCCTTGGGTCTTCCGTACGTCTTGATTACATTAGTTTTGATCGCACCTATTTTGCCGCCTTCCTCTAAAGATTGTTTGATATAAAGGTCGCGTATTGCCACCGCAATAAACAAATAGAGCCAAAAATAAGGAAAGGGGTTGGACCGTCAGTGGAAGCATTTCCACACCCAATTACAATATTGTGGTATTCATTTCTATTGTTTATTGGCTTGACTTTTGTAATTCAATCATGAACCTATGTGGTAGTTTATGGATTATGAAAGCTTCTTAATCAATTTAAAAAAATAAGTGTAGATTATAGTCTACAGTACAAGATGGAGTGCTTAAGTGATATTATAATTCTTAGATCTAGTTAGATCAGATTCTCATCAAAATTATTTAGTATTGATTATTTTAATGTTAAATAATTTTTGGATTGATTATTTGAATTTTTATGAGTTTTTTGATATTTTATTTTTACACAATGGATTTATAAATTAAGAGATATTCAATTTTTAATATTTTAATATTCAGAGATAAATAAAATTTATTTTCAATATTCTAAAAATCATTTTATGAATTTTGTTATTCACTAATTATATGAGTGCCCACCATGAGCTATGGGCCCACCATAAGCTATGGGCCCATTATAAAATTCGTCACATGGGAAATTGTGTGGGGCGGACATAAGACCACCTAGGGTGGCATGCGCCACCTATATTGAATATTGTATAGTACTCACTAAAACATGGTCAAGGCACCAAGGCTTGCAAATCAAGTTGATATAATATAGTATGATTTGAAATAATTAAATATTGATTTCAATAAATAGAGTATGTGTAAGAAGATTATGAAAAATTAAAGTAAGATTGGTAACATTTTTCATATTTCATTATTTGATGAGATTATGTTTAAGAAGTTGAATGATAAGGTTCCAGCACATTCATTTGAATCATAATGGCTGATCAAATGATTCAATGGCTCAGAACTCTTATCCTAGAAGTCTCCTATGATTGATGGTCTGGAGCTAATCTCACTAAAGATAGCGAGCCCTAAAGAAACCCTAACCCTTGGAAACTCTATAAATAGAGACCATATCTCTCTCAAATCTCTATACCTCTCATCTCTCTCTACTCTCCACTTAGGATAGCACGCCACCCCTAGGCTCTCTCTCTCAATCAAAGTTCTCTCTCATCTCTCTTAGTAAGATAGTAAGAAGAAGGGGGCATGACCCAAGATAGGCCCAAGAGGGGGCACACCACACTCACATAACCTAAGGCATTGATGCTTAGGTTAGTGTAGTTGTTTCATGCTCTCATGTTCATAAAAGGTAGTAGCTAAGGTTTTCCATATTTTGTATATCTGAGATAAACCATTGGTCTGGTACATCATTAGAGGAGGAGACACGGTGTGGGGTGTATTACGTCCGATTGAGGTAATCTTCCAGCATCTTGTTTTGTGGTTTGCAGTATTTTATTTTTTATGCCTTCTTATTCTCATAAGCATTGTGTTGGTTTTATTCATTGAATAAAAGACGTTGTAATTAGTGGCAACAAGTGAGAACCACCTTTGGTTATTTATTTATTTCAAGTGAGTTTTTTCACTTGAACCTTTGTAAGTGTTCTAGTGGAAAAAAAATTTAAAAATTATATACACCATATTAGACCACCTTATCCAACTTTCACTATTTGACAATTAGAAATTTCAGTCCAAAGCCAAAATTTCTAATGCGGCAATTCCTCTACAGTGAAAGGAGTTCCACATTCCTCAAAAATGAGAAATGTTTCACATCCCTACCCCGCCAGAAGAGTAAAATGTCAAAAAAATGGGAAATATAGATTTCCTATTTTCTAGATTGTTTTATCATTTTTGAAAATGTGACACAATTCTTCAAATATTTTATTTCTTTTTGAAAATAAGCTCAAGATAAAACTGGGACAGCATGTGTGCTTCATTGCGGTATATATGTAAAAACATAAAAATCTAATTCAGAGTATGTAAAAACATAAAAATCTAATTCAAAGAAAATAAAATGTCCAAAATACCAATCATTTATTATTAGAGGTATTCATGTCACTTTACTTTTTTGCAAAATATTTTGAAATATTTTTTAGGTGTGTGATATTTAGTTTTATAGATGAATGAAATTTCATCTCAATCCATTGAAATACTTAGGCATGTTCTTGACCGTCCAATGAAGATTTCATTATTGAGATGGATAGAATTTTGGGTGAACTATAATATGGACTTTCAGGGAGGTCCAATCATTCTATTAATTAAAACAAGTTTTATCTTTTTTTACTAGTGCCTGAGGTGAGAAACATAAGAACCCAAATTTTTAGCTCAGTCCAATGAATGAATGATAAAATAAAATTTAAATGTCAAACATTCTCTGGATGATCCGTGTCTAATCATTCTAATTTTTAAAATAATTTTATATTTTTTCTAGGTGCGTGAGAGTGAAAGTTATATACACCCTGAAACTTAGCTCAATAAAATGAATAAAAAAATAAAATACTTAGGCATGCTCTCAACTCATCCACAATATTTTTTCTTTATGTAATCTAGACCGTCCATTTTGCTGGATTTACCATGGATGAGTTACAATTTCAGATTCTCATTCATTTAACATATATCGCCAAATGGTTTAATTTGGCTAATTTTCTGACCTCCTAGTTTTCAAAATCTCCTACTCCAGATTTTAGAACTTGAGATTTCCAATTAAAATTCTAGTTTTTGGTTCCCTTACCTTGATTTGATATTCTCACTAATTCCCACTTAAGTTCATGTGATCTAGTCTTTTGGTCACATGAATATCGTGCCTTTAAGGGAAACTGCTTGGATGGCTTGGGATATATCACCAAGTTCCAAAAAAAAATTTGAACTTTAAATCTAGTCAATGACTCTTTTACATTCACCAAATCTAAAATCTAACGGATAAGAGGGATTGTGATCTTGTATATGTGCTCTCTGTATACCTTTCTTTTTTGATATAGTTGGTTTTAATGTAATTTTTACTGCTTAGAATGCTTGGTGCAGAAAATTCATCCTTCTAATTATCCATACCTGTAATCATTGAATTTCTTAAAGAATTTGGACCTTAACATACGAAAAGGGGTAAGGGTAAATTTTTTTGAAACTAAGTTTTAAAGCATATGTCACATAAATAAGACCCAACGAGAAAGAAGAGGAGTTATCCAAATGGAAAAAAAAATGAGCCTTCAACTCCCTGCCATCAGAGCGTTTCCACCCTCCACTTTTCAACCCAGAAGCTCATCTTCTTCCTCACGCTACAATGGCACCCACCTTCAATTTCCTAGGCTTTATCGTTTATCTACTGCAGTTTCTACTCACAAAAACAACATGCATATTGCTTGCTGTTTACCGCAGGTTGGTTACATCGCTCTCTGTTTATTACATCTCTCTTTCTCTCTCTCTGGAATGACCACTCTTTAGCGGCCTCAGGTAAAAAATAATCTTTTGGGAGAAGAACTTACAAACGAGTTCCTAATCAAACTCTCTACCTTCGCGGAATTGGGAATTCTACTCTCAACTGTAAGTCATGAGACAACTGTTTGTACCCTCTTTCTCTCTTTTATAATTTCTCTCTAAACTTTTAGATGTTGTAATGCTTCATTCAGATAAGTTTCTCTCTCTAAATGCTTGAATTGTTGTAATAAGAGGACCTGTTTGTGAAGGCGGTTGATTTGCCAGCTCGAGCCCTAGAGGTGGATCTTAGTGAGGATTGGATTTGGACATGGATTGAAGGGGGGGCTGTTGCATTTTGGTACTTGTTTATTATGCCGGTAAAAAGGGGGATTCATCTTCCTTCATTTTATATGTGAATTCATGATTTTAATTTTAATTGTCATCTATATATGTGCAAATTTTGGGGTCCAATAGATCCCTCTATGTGGCTTACGCTATAGTATAACTGTATAAGTGATTGGCTTAATAATCTTTTTCTTTAAACTAATCGGGGTCTTTGTATTTTGCAGCCAGTGATAATGAATTGGCTTAGGCTTCGGTGGTACAAAAGAAAATTTTTCGAGTTCTACTTGCAATTCATGTTCGTGTTCATCTTCTTCCCTGGGTGAGTGATCTTTGTTTTTCTCTTGACAGTTCCATATGAAGAACGGCTGAGATTGACCACAATTTCCTAAAATAGATAAGGGAAGTTCTTGTGGGCTTGTATCCACATGATCATCTCTCTAGTAATAAGTCATAAAATACTAAAGAGAATAAAAACCCCATATCTCTAAGGTGTGTTTCAAAATCCGGATCTACCGGGCTAACTAGGCCTTCCAAAATATGACTCCGATCTGAGAACGGTGAGCAGGATAGGCAAACCTCAGTCCCAAAAAAAAATTTAACAAAAATTCTAAGAGGAAAAAAACTTATATTCCCCTCTATTCAATCATAATCCTAAATAAACCCTCTTGTCCATAAAAAGCCTAGGGACATCCTCCAAAGTTAAAAAATAACAAAAAAAAAAAAAACTCTCTGCCCATTTCTCATTATCCCAATTCTAATATTTATTCTTTTTATTTTCCTAATTCATCGAAACCCTAAAAAAGCTCCCGCTATCTTACTCTCTCTTGTTCACCCATGAAAATCCTCTTCCCTCTCCTCTAGCAACTAACCTTTTTTACCCCATCTCTTTCTCTCTCTCAAGTAGGTTTACAGAGACATCTCGAATCTCAAATTCTATTTATATGATAGGGTTATTAGAAAAAGAAAAAAGTAAATATTATAATTTGAACGATAAAGAAAATTCTACTTATATAATAGGGGTTATTAGAAAATGAAAAAGGTGAATATTATCATTTGGACAATGAAAATAAAAATAAAAAGGAGTTTAAAACTTTTTTTTTTTTTTTAACTTGGAGGGGAATCCATGGGCTTCCTATAGACCGGAGGGGTTATTTGGTATTATAATTGTAGAGAGGGCGATATACATCTTTTTCCTTCATTGTAGTTTTGAAAACAAAGACTGAAAAAAAAAAATTAAAAATAGTAAAAACTTGGCAATCCTAGTTCTCTGACGAAACCGAGTGAGTCTATGAGAATCGTCCTAGTTCCAACTAGGAACCGGGTCGGTCCCCACTAAATCCCAGCCTGGATTGGCGATTATTAATCTCACCCTACAAAAATTTTTGGAACTGTGAATTTACATACATTTTGATTTTGACACGTCTCTCTCAAAGAATTGTGATTTTATTACATATTCTTGTAGGAATATTTGGCAAAACCGGTTCTTCCTATTGTAGTTATTTGTCAAGTCACGTTTTGCCTTTTCTTTAGTCTTTCTTCAAATTATATACCTCGTTGATATTGCCTTATTGGTTTTCCTTTTCACTTGTGCAAGCCTGATGTTGTGGGCACCATTCATCAACTTTAGAAGACTACCACGAGATCCCACGATGGAGTATCCATGGTCTACGCCCAAAGATCCATCTGTGAAAGATCCCCAATCCTCTCCATAAAACATAGCTATTATGTAATATGTTTATGATTTGATGTGTATGAATATCATCTCTTGACTTCATTAGTAAAACTGACTTTCGACCTTTTTAATTTCTATTTGGTTTTGTAAATAGTGAGAAAATATATAGGTGCGTATGACCTCATTGAGGGTACCACCCTTAATAGAGCATAATAGCAGACTAGAATTCGTGTAGCCGATCCCAATTAATTGGAAAAAAATTTTGACCACGATGTCATGATCATTGCAACTAGTAGATATACCATACCTACCCACACAAGCTTATTTATTATTGACACCATACACTCTCGTCCCCCATAGTTTTTTGGATAGATGTACTTTTCATGATTAACCAAAGGTTAGAGCATTAACGTTTAACATGCGTATATGGTCGATTTGCATAATTAACATGAGGAAATGACAAAAATTATACAAGTAATTTGATGCAGAGAGTGATAGCAAGTTGCGTTCCATATCTCCAATAAAAAGATTCTTCCTCACCATCATTTTAGCTTTTTTCCAATTAATTGAGGTTCTAATAAAAAGATTAAAGAGCTCAAAATGTTACCAAACATTCTATTTATGCAATAAGGTTTATGAACCTTCTCCATCTAAGTTAATACTCAAAAAACCGTCTGCATCTAAGTTAATACTCCCTTAGACCATCCCAAAAGATTTTAATCGTAATATTCCTGCTTCCTACAATGCTTACTTCCAAATACGACTAGATCTTGCTTTCTGCATTAACTTCTCCATAACCTCTCTACAGAGTGTAAGGTGATTTTGAGCACAAGCAGTCTCTTCATGGTTTCTATATAAGTGGTTGGCTTTAGAGTCTTTCGAGGCCTTAAATTCAAGATTACATAGACGATCTTTGAAGCGTCTTAACTGAGGTGAAAAATGTGTGGTGTCGCTTAACCACAGCGAATCATCACTCTATTGCAGTGGCAGTCGCTAATGTTCGCCTTTCCTTGTGGTGAGATACTGCACTTCACAATTTCGAAAAGGATTGAGATTCCAACCCAATAGCGGGAAAACTAGGTGCAAATTTTGTGCAACAACAGTTCCAACTGAGTGTTCTAAGTTAACTGCTACAAAGATTGCCCTACCTATTCATGCGCCAAAAACTATTCAGATGGTTATGATTCCTCTGGAATGGTACTCAACCAACTTCTAGCAGACTGAGAAAACAATTCAAATTCTAATATATGCCACAAGAATCTTAACTAAACAAAAAACTACTTGTATGCCTATGTAAGTACTCCAACCGAAGGAACAGAGATGCTGTCTCTCAACCAAGTGGAAATCATACAGAGGCGATCCCTTCCCATACACAGTCACCAAATTAGATGTTCACTCTAGTATAAAATTCTATTCCTAAAACCTTTTGATTGTGCCCCATTTAGGGTTGTAAAACACAGAATCAAGATCTGAATCAGTTTCTACTTGTTAAACCAATTCAGATTGGCGATTTCAATCTTATTTGGATGATCCACAAGAAACTAAAAAAAATAAGAAAAAGGGAAAAAGATTTTAAATTAAATTTTCTTTTTCTTTTTAGATAGAAAATAATAAAAAGTCTACAAAATTGTTGAGCATCCTCTCCCATGAGAGAAGGACACCAATAAAAATAATCTTTTTAGAAGGGCAGTTTTAAAAAGACAAAATATGACTTGTTGACCGATCAATGAAATACGGTATGAAGTAATTGATATGGGGTTATATATCCTCTATATCCCATTGACGCATATAAGAGCAATAAGTGGGGGCCTAGATCTCTTTAGCGTGTGTGCTCCTCTCATGGGAAAGAGCCGTGAGCTATTAATTGGGTTTTAATCAATACTTGTAAAATTGAATCGGAACTAATAACCGGACATGGGCTTGAAAGCGGTTTAATCGGCGAATTCAACCGTTCTAACCGGGCAAGTCCCGAGCGGTCAAAAAAGTATAAAAAAATTTTAAAAAATACAAACAAAATCCGTTAAAATATGAAAAGCATATAAAGAATGATTAAAACAAAATGCATTCAATTGAAGTTGAAAATTAATGAAAAAAAATGGAATTTAACCCATTTTATATTTTCTAATGGCTATTTTTAAAATTTTCTAAAAAAGATGGAAAAATATCAAAGTGAGTATTAATGACCAAAATAATTTTTAATCTTTACCGTAATGTAAAGAATATTCAAAATTACATTACAAATCAAATTCCTTATTTTTTGAGAATTTATATACATTTTTTAGAATATTTTTTTAAAAATACCTATTGATCACTGCCCAAAGCTGAAACCCGCCACTAACTGGTTCCGATCTAACCGGGTGGTTAGCTGTTAGATCGGTCGATTTTACGAATAATAGTTTTAACCAAAGTCACCTCTCTAGAACCATTTTTGGGCGCATCTCTTTTGGACCATTTCTTTAGGCAACTCGTCTTAAAAATACAAGAAGCCTTCTTCTACTGAAAAAAAGAAGAAAAAGATAAAGAAATCTATCATTCTCAAGAGAGAGTTATCTTTCTCGAAGAGAGAAGAAGATAGAGAGCAACCCTTATTCTTAGAGAGAACAAGAAGATCAAAAAGGGCTACTGCCCATCTTCTTAAATCTTTTTTTTGTAGAGAGAGAAGAGAAGAAAAAGAGAGAAATAGTGAACATTCTTTTAGAGAGCGAGAAAGCCTCTAAAAAGAAAATAAATCTCTAAGATAGAAAAGAACCTCAGAGAAAAAAAATTCTAGAGAGAAATTTCTAGAAGAAATCAGCGAACCCAATAAAGTTTATATCTTGGAAGACTATTATAATCATTCAGTTAATAGTAGATGTGTCTCTTTCTCGCGTAGACGCAGCATAAAAAGGTAAACCACGTAAATCTCGGTGTTAGTAAGTTATTTGCTTTAATTTGTATATTTTTCCACTCGTACACATATTGACTTTGGAATATTTTTATGTATCATGCATCCGCCTGCCGCTGTGCGCATTCGCATTCGTGCGAGAGGGCTATAATAGGGTGAGCTCAACAAAAAAATACGTATTTTTTATCGTTGGTTAAGAAACATATTTAATTATGTATGAATCTAGTAAAAAAATTGTCAGATCTTAGGCTACTTTTGGACAATATTAACATATTTATCCAAAAAATCCCCAATTTTTTAGCACTGATTTCTATTAAAAGGGGTTTGATCACAAAATATTTGAGTAGATCATTTAGAGGGCTCAAGACAAAAACTTTGCATCAAATTTCACACAAATGTGAAAGAAAAGCTAAAAAGGTATATCTTTGAAACAACTATTTAAAAAACCGTCCAAAAACAGAAGAAGCATGAAACTCCAAATCCACAAAAATATCACGTAAAATGATGCAATACATGTTACAAATCATAAATTGGCATGTGGCTTTCATCGTAAAGCATAATTACATCTTGCACTGTTGACAATTCATTTTCAATATTTTCGAATGCTTATAAATCTACTGAACTGAATCACACTATTTTCAAGCTTTAAATTGAAGTAGATTTTCAGGCCATCCTAGGGCTTACCCGGCAAAGCATCTTCATCTTTGGGCGGGTTTGGAGGTATATATACCTTCAATTGTTTAGATCGATGCCTTATATAAACCACACCCAATAATCTATACACATTTTGCTAATGTCTACACATCGATATTAAAATGAAAGCATATTGTGATGCATGAAACAAATTGTTGTCCAAACATTAAAAATTGTTCATTTATAATAAAAAAATCTTGAAACAATGCTAGTGTTTGAGCCATCTTTCCTATCCATACTACCATTTTTTATATAAAAAAGAAAGTAGAAGAAGCCAACAATCCAAATTTGGGAGCGTAATAAAAAATAAAAAAAAACTCTAGTTTCTTTCCTTATCTCAAAACTATTTTGTCAGTTTGGAATAAAATTTTCCAGTCTCATTGATTTACAAAAGCAGGAAAAAATTTTACCAAAACCAAAGATCTATAAGATCAAATTTTTGGCTTTTTCCATCATTTTTTGTCAATTTCATCTATTCCACTATTTATTTTGTCTATTTTATTTCAAGAAAACATGACTTTCTTTTTTTCACCTATTAACTGAATCTGAATCATTTTTTTGAATCAATAGCTCCTATTATATAAATTGCGAGATGAAAAATGGGTTTTCTGTTTTATTTTGAGCTAGATTTGTGATTTTGTAGCATATTTCTTTAATTTTTTTTATTTTGATTTTGATTTTGATTTATAGCTCCTAGATGAAATAAGATATTTGATTTTCATTTTACGCATTTTTCCTTTTTTGTCATATTTTCCATCCGAAGTTTATCATTTTTGCAACCCCATGGACAACTAATCTGACTCACTGAATTTGCTAGTCCAAATTGAAACTGGTTCATGCAAATTCAACCCTCAGTCTATTTTTAAAAAAATTTCCTTATGAACATTCGAACTTGGCAGAGCATTTGGCAAAGAAGATGTCACATGTTCAAACTCAGTTGCGACTTTTTATTTCGGTAAAGTATATAAAGGGACTTCTCAAGACTACTTGCTTTTAATACAAGATCATGATCAATCTTATCCATCAGATTTTAAATCAGGTGTTCGTAAGTGTGTCATTAACTAGATTCAAAGGTAAAAAGAAAAAAAACTTTATCAAACTTCGTGAGACACCTCATGATGATGAATTTAGCATCTAATGGCTATGAGTGATTGTAATGTCTTTTTAAGAATAGTAAAAATGTCTCATAGTATATAATCCTTTTATTTAAGTGTTCTTTATTATAGTTGTTACACAACCTAACATGACCATCCAATCTGACTATCAGACCATTAGCTAGTGCCCTGGCCTATTTAGTCTAAAGCAAAAACTAAGTTAGGTTGAAAACTAGTCAAAATCTACAGTTGATTGGTTTTGACCTGTTGAACTTATAAACAACTAGATTAGTTAGACAATTTTTTATATTTTATATTTATAAATAGTTATTTTTTATAGGGTTATATTATGGTAGTCATACATATGAGTATTTATTTAATATACTTGGCATTTTTTGAACAATCATTTACCCTTGTTTTGTAACATATATTTTTTTTTATAATGACATTTCTGATCATTAGGAGGGACAAAATAGATATTTTTTATAAAAAAATAGTGGCATTCTATTACTATTAGTAGTAGAGAATCAATCATTGATCCATGTGGGTTATGTCACACTCATATGGATAATGTCATCCTCCACCATAGTTAATAAATATTTATTTTTTTATAAATAATTTAAACTTTATTATTAATTAATTAACTTAAATATCTCTAGGAAAACAAGTCACTACATGACAGTGTTCGCAAAACCGGCCGGTTAGATCAGAACCGTTAGGGTTCCAACTCCGGTTAGGACCGATTCTGGTGTACCAGTACCTAGACCTATCTCTCATAAAAAAATCAGGTACAAAATCGGCCGATTTAGGGTCGAACCGACGATATTTATGTCTAACTGGCCGGTTATGATTTAACCGGACCGATTTTATGTTAAACGGCGTTTTTTTTTGGAAAAAATGGCAAATTGAAATAACGGCTGCTTTTTGAAACATAACCCGTTATTTGCAGCAACTCAAAATTTCTTGCTTCTTTTATTCGATTTCCTTGCCTTTTTTGGCGTTTTTGGTGATTTAGTATTGTAAATCATTATAGATTTTCTATAAATCAACAAAAATCGAATCAAAGATTAAAAAAACAATGGTTCTTGTGTATTGAAGTGCGGAATTTCTATCCTTTGGAAATTTCCGCCATTCAATGAATTTTGTCTTCAATAAGTAACCATTATTGATTAAATTTGATGCTTTTGAATCATAATTGAATTGGTTACCATATCCTTGTTTCAATTTGTTCAACAAACAAGATATAGGGGGTAGATTTTGGCTTGAAACTTTGCTCGAAGAACCTGTGTTCAAGCTGCTTGAAGAACCCTAATTTTATCCGACATTAGGTTAATTCTATCTTGAATAGGTAATGATTATTGATAAAATTTGAGGGTTTTTAATCATAATCGAATTGGTTATCATATCCACGTTTCAATTTGTTCAACAAACAAGATATAGGTGGTTGATTTTGGCCTGAAAATTTGCTCGTAGAACTTGTGTTCATGCTGCTCGAAAAACCCTAATTCGATCCGCCATTTCATTAATTTCTTAAATATTATTGATGAAATTTTAGAGTTTTGAATCATAATCGAATTGGTTACCATAGCCATGTTTTAATTTGTTCAAAAAACATGATATTTTGGGTTGATTTTGGCCTCAAAATTTGCTGCTCGAAGAACTTGTCTTCGATTCAAAATACAGATTTTTAATCAATTTATTTGTCTTTTTATGAAATTGATTTATGGAGTTGATTATCAAGGCTTCATCTATCATATAAAATAGGTAGGTTGATTTATAATTGAGAAAAGCTTTTTATACGAATTTATTTTTTGCTTGATGTTGTGAAAATTTCATAGGTCTAAATTTTCTGTGATTTTTTAAAATTGAATGGAAAATATCAAATATTATTTTATTGGATTTGGTGCCTTTAAAAGATGATGGAAGCCTTTATAAAGCTGTTGTATTGATATGTTCGATTTTTCGAACATTGAGGGTTTGCTCGAAATGTTGCTAGATTTTATAAATCGATTGTTTTAACAAAATTAATTTTACTTTTATATTATTAAGTCAATAAAATTATTTTTTATGATGAATATGGAAAGTGTTTTTCTATTTTGCTTACTAAAATTATATTTTTTATAAAATTATGTTTTTATGATAAAAATATATTCTTTGACATATATGATAAAAAATCAATTCTTCTTTTTTAAATATTATATTTCTTTTTCTAACAAACAAAAAAATAAGTGCATGATAACGTTGGTCTTACTTTTCTTCATTTTTTTTATATATTTTTTAAGTTTGTGATATAATTATATTTGTAATAATGGAAATGGAATTGTAATTGTAATTGTTGTAATAATGGAACTGGAATTGTAATTGTGTAATGGAAATGGGATTATAATTGTGTTGGCAGAGGCATTCACAATTTCAAAATTTTTTGTTATAAAAAAAAATTGATCTTGCTTTTAAATAACTGTCTTGGATTTTGGAATTACTTAGGATCAATAATGCTCAGTTCCTTCTTACTATTTTCTTATTAGTTGGCGTTTTTATTTGGTTTTTATAGCATTAAGCTACTTTTGGTATTTGCAAAAAAGAGCATAAACGTTGATTCCTAATGTGAACTATTTTTGTAAAAAAAAATAGAAAGTTTTTCATGTAAGGTTTATGATGAATATGTTAATTCTTAAAAGAAGATGATACACGACAAAAATATCTTCAAACAATATCTTAATCTAGGAAGACCTGCATGGGATCATGAACAGGACCATAGTATTCAAATATTATTTTATAAAAATTTGTTTCAATTTTTTTGTAAGATAAAAGTATGTAATAAAATATTATACACTTAAACTAAGTTTTTCTATTTTTTATTTTACTTTTTTGAGGGTTTTTTATTTATTTATTTTTTAAAAAAAATCGGCTTGATCAGTTAGTCTGGTTAACCGCCCGGTTAGTCTGGTTCCAGTTCAAACTGCTCCCAACCCCGTCTCCAGTCAACCGTTTCGATTCGATTTTGCGAACACTTACTACATAGTTGGAAAATGATAAGTGTCTAAAAATATGGATTATTTCACGAAAATACTCGAGTACTCTGACATAACCCTTATTTATATTTCATATCTATAAAAAGTTACTAACTATTTTGTTTTTTAAGATTTGCTATTCAAGTAATACCAATTTTAACCCCTCAACGGTTTGGCGTCGGTTTCTGCCGCATATTTTTATACTGCCCCGTTTATCATCTAGTGATTAAGAGACATTCATCTACCAAATATGAATAATCTCCTTACATATTTTTTCTATTACAAAAACCATTACTTGCTTGTTACCGTTAGCCACTGAGTTAAAATAGATTAGGGTGCTTGCGTTTTAAGGCACGGCGCTCTTTAAATGAAGGTACATATATAATCCCAAGATGCCGTTAACGGATGGTCCAGATCCGATTCTAATAGAGTAGCCAATAATCCAGACCCTACGTTAGCGTCAACAATGGATAATCCCTTAAGGCGCGGCGGGGGTCAGATGGTTGGGACCGCACCGCACATGCCGCCCACTGGAGAACAGTTGAAAACAAAAAAAAGTTGGTTGAGAGAGGAGGTTTAGAGAGGGAATTAGTGAGAGGAAAGTTTAGAGACGACGGGCTTAGTGTTAGGTACCCAACTCATACCGGGATGATGGCACGCTCCACACGGGGGTGGCAACGAGTGTCCGGGTCCCAGTCCTGGTCCGGTCGGACGTTATTATTCTGATCTGTCGGGTCTAATTCTTGGACCCATGCCCGGATCTAGGTCGAGACCGGATGTCTAGTCCCCAATTGGGTCGGCTCTCACTCTGATTTTAGTTTTCTCGTATAGGCTTTTCCAGTACGCTCCAAAACTCTTAGGGTGATGGAAACATGAAAAATTAAACCCTTAAACCGGTCTAGGCATTTTAGAGAGAGAGAGAGATTATGAAAGGTGTGGAAGTGGGGGAGGGAAGAGGGGTTGGGTAATTACCGTTGCTATGCGAAAGAAAAGTGGCGAGATTTGGTTTCCAAATTTATTTATTCCCATGAGTCTGTTTCTCAGTGGAGCCTTCGACCAAAGGAATAATCGCGGACCGCCCATGATAGAATCGAACGGTCACAAAGCGTCGACCGTTGGGTTTTGCTCTGAAGAAAGGTGACTCCTGGGCATATATCCGTTATACTTCCTTTCTCTCGACTCTTATTCTTCTTCTCCACTCGACTGACACACCCCACCCCACCCCACAGAGCTTTCTCAGAGCCCCCCCTCTCTCTCTCTCTCTC